ACGATCGAGTTTCGAGTCAAGACTGTCAACTTATATTTGACTGGTACTGTATACATATTTTAGTAAAGTAACAATGTTTTGGTTGTCAGGGTGTCTGGAAAACCCGAATAGCGAATAGCGAATATTCACGAATAGTTAATAGCGAATTGTCCCAAATGGTGCGAATAGTCTCGAATAGTGCAAACAGTGGTGAACAGTCGTGAAAGGTGGTGAATAGTGACGAATACAGGTAGTCGTCAATAGTCACCGCTTTAGATCTCATGTCCTGCCTTAATTAATTATCCAAATAAGCAAAAGAATTTCAGTGAATTTATTACCTTTTCTTCTTCGGACTCAGGCTAGGGCTGTCCATCGCCGACATTAAGAAAACAGAAAACACAAGGATAACCTGATAAAGACGTATTTACGCTTTTGTAGCAGTTAAAATGGAAGAGATTACGTTTAGAAACACCTTTTTAGCGGGAAAATCCCATCCTACGTTGCTGCGAGGTTGACTGCGAGATGTTGGGTACCCTATTTGCTACGATTTGCCACTATTTGAGACTGTTGGCCACTATTCGCACTATTCGAGACTATTCGCACTATTCATACTATTCACTATTTGCTATTCAGGACTATTCGCTGTTCGCTATTTGCGACTATTTGCTATTCGCTATTTGCTATTCGGGTTTTCCAGACACCCTGGTTGTCGTGGTAATTGTGATTGATGGCAACCAAAAATACAATAAGGAAGATATTTGTTTACAAACATTGTTTTTGTTATTTAAATGTTCAAAGCCTTAAACAAAAGAATTCTTTGTTTCACCAGCCAATAGTTCTCTAGTTGGCATATTAATAACAATTCATTGGTAACGTCAATGATATCTTTGCTATTGAAATTCAATGTCATTTACAGGCACAGTGAGAAAGGATACTAATTTTTTACATGTTAATTTCTGAGACAAAGTTTTAAAGTTTTTGAAGAGATGCTTTTAACGTGAGTTTCAAGGTTACGGACAATACATTTCTGAAAAAGTAATTTGATACATCTGGGCATAGATCTGGGTTTTAAATTTGCCACCATTTCTAAAATTCAAATTACCAGCTCGTTGGCTCGTTTTCCGAGCAAACTTAACAAATTTGTCCAGCAAATTATAACAGTGTGCTTATTAGAAACATAACCAAACGCTGGTTTATAAAATACACCCGAGCTAAAACTAAATCTGCTTGAATCAATGAGACAACCTACCTTATGCATGAACAATATGGCGGCTTCTCAGTTCCTATACTCTATTCACTTTCTGAGATTACTAGAATTGAGAAAAGGCAATCAGATTACAATATGACTTCCATACGTTAATACAGTCTTCACAAAATGAGATAAGAAAGCTCATGTTAAAACTTACCCAGAAGTTAACAACCATTTTCACATATCCTTTTGAATCGAAGCCACCATGTGCGAAAATTCTCCCAAGTTGGACGATCGATAGGTATTGTGGGATATTTTTTCTTTAGCCTCCCCTCCCCAGCACTTGCACGAGGCGTATTTGATGGATTCACTTTGGAATTCGTGTCAACTTGCGTTCCCTTGCTTTTCCCGTTAGTTCTGCTTTGTGATTCCCTTCGCTATAACCTTCAGGAAGTTCTGTTATGCGTTTCAGTACCGTCCTCCGTTGTTTCGTCTTTATTCCACTGCCCCCCCCGGGGGGGGGTGTGGCACTGCCATATATAGGCTATATAGGTATGTGCCGCGTGAAGGGTATGGTTTTCAAGCAGTTTACTCTACATATGATCTAGGATAGGGTATATAAATTATCAGTGCGTTTGGGTCTAGAATAGGGTATCATTTTTCACAAAACTGACTGGTCGGTTGAAGATTTTATCTATAGAAGGGAAACCAGGAATTGCCACTCAAAAATATTAAAAAATCAAATCGGCAAGTTTAAATTTACGCAAATCAGCCACAACAGGGTCGATAGATGGGGGGATTTGGGGAGTTTACTCTAGTATAGGTTAGCAAAATTCAGCTGAACTAGCTCTGGTATAGACTAAGGGTTCCAGAGTCCCAGCGGCACATCCCCACCCAGAAATTCCCAAAGTATCCTCCCCCCGGGACCCTTGCACAATACTTGTTCGTCCCCGGACCCTCTCAGTGCATTGTCTCCATTCCCTCCCAGGGAGTCTGCCCTTTTTAAAAGGTTGGGGATGCTCATGATCTCACTTAGGGGTGTAAATCAAGGATTTTGGTCTGGTTTTCACTAGCGACGCAAGCACAAGCGCAAGCACAAGCGCAAGCA